GCTCATAGGGAGTGCGTACGGTTTATCATAGTTCCTGGGCTCCCTGTGCTGATACTTCCCGGGATATAATTGAATACGAGTGGACGCATATACTATGTAACCACAATTGTAGATTGTGCCTGATGTCTCACAGACTGTAACACACAGATGTGTAAAATATAGCGAAAGTTGATCGCATCAATCTGTCATATTTCAAGCGTGCCGTCGTAGTGCAGCGCGCTTTTAAATTCCATGTAAACAAACCGAATTTTATTCACGCGCCGCATGGGACCCACTGTTATAAAACACGACGTGTCACTACGACTGTGATGTCTGAAAATGTTGTATCTGTATTTTGTCAGCCATGATGGAAATCCTGCCAGCTCGGTGCACGATTCTTATGAAGAAGATGTTGAAATATGCCGGAACATTTGGACTGGCGAGTATTCTGTGTGGAGTGGTATTTGTTGACAGAGGAAATAAGTCGCAAACCAAAGAAGCTCTGGAGCAAACAGTGAAGATCATCAAGAAAAGAAATGTGAGTAAATCTGAAGTTTTCTCTATCAAAATTATGTTTATTTGGTTCAAAATTGAAATTTGTAAAACATAAAATTGCAACGGCAAACGGCCATAGCGTATTGTTGTTTACAAACAAACTACCCATGAGACTTTACCGCGCTTTGGACCTAATTCTCGCGCATACAGAGATGAATTGTTCGAGTTACGGACATTGTGTTACAAAAATGTCCACGCCCACTTTTGCAAAACTACACCCGAATTGTCACTCGATGTTAACAGTTAACAGAACTTTGAGTTACGGGCAACATACATTTTTGTTTGTGTTGAACGTCCACATTTAGTAACTCGAACAGTTGACTGAACTCCGAGTTACAAGCAAAATAATAAATAAACAAAACAAAAAATCTATGTTGCCCGTTCGCTGCATACAGGGAACGGTTAATGAAACACTATCGGAAATCGTGTTTCGGTCAACAAGAACTGAGTATGCTATGCATGCCACACTATGTTCCTATCATCATTGAACAATTTGTTTCTCATTCATTATAGGCCAAAATATGGATATTTCCAGAAGGTACACGAAAGTACAACACTGAATGTTCAGATCCAATGTTGCCATTCAAAAAGGGCGCGTTTAATTTAGCTGTCCAGGCTCAGGTCCCGATCGTTCCAGTCGTCTTTTCTTCTCAGTCGAAATTCTTTAGTTATGAGCAAAAGAGATTTACACAAGGTATGTTTTATGGGTAGGTGATGACAGTGATGTGTTTGCCAGAACACAATTAATACCGTATTCAGAGTTATATAGCGGAATTCAGTGAAGCTTAGTAATTTGGACGTCCGATAAAATACGTCATATTTACCATTTGTAATTCATTTGTATTTGTTTTGTCGACACAAATATTTTAGACGTCCGGGAGATAAGTAGTTACCATGGTAATCTTCATCACACTCGTGCATTCAAGTTGACGTAAGTGATATATTGGTATCGCATTTTATTGCATCTATATATTGATTTGCATAATAAATATAAAGTGTGTTTTTGCTGTAATTGTAGGTGAATTCACTGTAACTGTCATGCCACATGTGAACACGATTGGACTCACTTTGGAAGATGTACCGACATTAGCTGACAAAACGAGACAATCCATGATAGATGTATACGAAGACACATCCCGAGATACGGACGCTATTAACAGAAATGATCACCGGACATAACAAAGCAACAACTGAACCACTTATGGGTTAAGATTGCCACCATCGCCTCGAGACATGTTCAATACTGAGGTTGGTGACGTAATTCCAGACAAGAACGGAAGCGGCGTGATATGACGATGAGGGCGCCATCACACTGCATGCGGTGATGGGTCAAAGAACCGCTGAA